AGAGTATGATGTCAAATGTTCATTAAAATGTGAAATTTTGCTGCAATCAAATCTTTTAGGAACAAACCTGCTTACACTTTAGATAGATACCGAATATTGACAACAACCATATCTAGCGCGAAATTCAAAATGGCCACATGACAGATGGTTGTGACACGAGGATTTACAAGTTACAAAAACAGGATTTGCTCCAGAAATACTACTTATTTGTCACCGAAAGAACTCTTCCGGCATGGGTAGCTTCACAGACGCGAGAAATACTGATACACCGATGAGTGCAGCAAAACTTTCCTGCAGATTTTTGCAGATTTGCAGCTTTTCATGAATAGGTGAAATAAGAAAGCTAAAAAAATGTGTTCTATATTTTTAATATAATAGAAACTGAAGCGAAACTCTAGAAGATTTCCTACTTCCATTGCCACTGTAGTTAATGCCATCCAAATGGAAATGGTAAAATCAGCCTCCAGTACATAATAGTTCGGTTTCTTTAATGCACATTTATATTGTGGTTTTACAAGCGCACTTAATATAATTAGATCCACGTTCTTACACGAATCTCATTTTACCCGCGACTTGCTATTCTCTGACAAGATATGAAAAAGACATGTGGTTTCACACGTATCATATTCAGAGATTTCTTTTTCGCTATATTTCTCCGATTGGTATTTGTCAAACAAACACTATCAACATCTACATCTGTATTGATACTACCTTAAAATAACCTGTCTGATAGTCAAAAGGTATTGTGTTTATTAAGAAAGCGATTTTCCGAGTGATTGCCAGTTTTAAATGGAAATTTTCTGAATGGAGATGTTCTTCAGGTACAATTAAATGTGCAGTTTTGGTTTATTATAATTACCATGGATATTGTTCTTTTCCCTGGCTGTTCCTCAACTGTTTATACTGGCCTCCATGTATAGCCTATCTTGTGCTGAAAAATGGCGTTAAACCCTACAACAGCAACAAGAACAACAACAACAACAACAACTAGTCTGATTGAGTAAGATCTTAAATTGAAAATAAAAACAACCCTTAGAGACAAAGAATCTTTTCTATACTTTTTTAACGTCAAATCATCTTTTTAAAATTTTTACGGTGTACTTAAAAAATATTTTCATATAAATCATATTTTGATTTCTTGCAACCACATGCTCAGATAAAAAGGTGGTCTTGACGAATAGGAAATTATACTAATGGACGAAACTTATCACATATTTTTTTCCCCAAAAAGGTTAGAAAAAAAAGAAGAAATACATACACGCTGTTATCCTTAAAACCAACAAAACATTATTGACCAGAATATCTGAAACACTTTAAAGCCATTATTTTCATATTTATTATCTATCCTATTATCTTAGCTGCAGAAAAGAGATGATGCTGACAAAGTCAGATACATCATTTTAACACGTTTGTTATCACATTTGTTATACTTTAAACATTTAATAAATCATGACTGTGGTCGTATAATTCACTAAATCCGTCTTTTCATTCATCTGTTTCGTTGGGGGGTTGGTGTATCTTTACACCATTCTAATCGACTGGAAAGGGTTGATCATCTTCAGTACGATACCTACAGACGATGAATATGAGATGGAATGTATATCCTTCATTTGGGAGGTTGAATCCAGATGGGCACGTATGTACATGTAATTGCGATGGCTGGTCTTTCAAGTTGTCTAAACAAACAAGGATAATACCGACGTTTTATTTTCCGCAGTGTCTGTTCTTCTATCTTGTAGCAAGCCCTGGCGTCCGAAACCACAACAAACACATTATGATGGTGTTGAGTTTTGGAGTATGCAACTAGACCAGTGATCTTTGTGTTGAGTTTTCAGAAGCAGTCTAGAAGCCATGATCTTGGTGAAATCTAATATGTTCAGAGCATCTTTAAAATAACTTGTAACCGCGGTTGCTCACTTGGTGGAGCTACTGAATGATAATTAAAGAGTCAAGGGTTCGATACTTTCCCAAACCAACCCGTATCGACTGCTTAGGTGTGCCCTAGGGTATGACACTTGTTTGTATTTCTTATGGTTTGATAACGTTTAATGTGTAACATACCTTGTTAAAATTAATGAAAGCAAAACAATTCTTTTTATAAGAAACATGATTTTTGTTCAAGGTAAACTATATACAACCTATTTCTGAGTTATCCAATTTGTGAAATTATGTTCTGCAGCGGACGCGTAGTTCTAGATAAAGGGGTTAGTTTACAATCATGCTAAAGTCGAACAATGTAGATATTGATTATGGCACATTTTATTGGCTATGTATTTGTTACTGATGGTAAATCTACATTGTGTTCATCGTTTTTGGCATAAAGTAAATCACATACCTATTGAGCTGACTTTTTCTTTTCTGCATTTCTGGTACACTAGAGTTAAAATGTAATGAAGAGTTTTAGAGAAGCTCTACTGGTTACATATGGTAAAACATGAATGCATTAGATGGCAGTATTTGCTTCACGCAGATGGGAAATCGCGTACTTCTAAGTACAAAACAAGTTCAAACTATATAACGAAAAAGCACTCAAACATATGCAAATTCGCTCACTGGTTTAGCTCCGACAACGGCACCAAGGGCATACGGATGGTAGCACAATATTCTCAGTGCATTTGAATTAAAAAGCGTGCTAATAATAAAATGTCATTTCTAAATATCACTCAACACTATTCTTTCCAAGGATTATATGTTTGGATGCTGAGCAATAGAAGACTTGTCTATCTCAACTAGACAGATGTCCCTAGCGACTGTTTGCCTGCCGTGTTTGTGATTGAAATATCATATTCTCTGGACAGTGTATACTTGTTGCTCATTTGAGCTTGAGAAATAAAATTCTTGGCACAAGACAGTCAGGTGTATTGACACAAAAGGTGTCAGAGATTTTCAAGAAATTCTATAGCTATGAATAGTGTAGTCATTACATATATTTTCATTTATCATATGCGATAAGCAAATGTACCTGAGAAACTCCGAAGTTTTATTTCGAAGTTTTGGCAGAAAAGAGAAAATTATGTAATTAGAATCATGAAGATGTACAAGTGTACGTTGTAAGGCAGCAGTTTTCATTGCCATTGTATTATGGATCGGATGACCTACATGTCAATGTATTACAGGTCGGATGACCTACATGTCATTGTATTACAGGTAGGATGACCTACATTACAATGTATTACGGGTAAGATGACCTACATATGATTGTATTACGGGTAGGATGACCAACATATTTTGTATTACGGGCCAAATGACCTACATGTCAATGTATTACGGGTCGGGTGACCTACATGTCATTGTATTACGGGTAGGATGACCAACATGTCATTGTATTACGGGTAGGATGACCAACATATTTTGTATTACGGGCCGGTTGACCTAAATTTAATTATATTAAAGGCCTGATGACCTTTCTGATATGAACGTAATGCATGCAAAATTAAAACAATTTTATATAACGTTTGGAATCAGGTTGCAACTAAGTTTACTATATTTTTTCTGCATTTTATTTCAGCACTAAACTTTCCGGTAGTTCAAATGACAACAAATCATATCTTATTATAAAGTACATTCGAAGATGAACTCACAATAAAGTTCTTGTCATAAGTTTCTGGCATATTTTGAGAGGCTGAACTATATAAACACAGACCTGGCCCTAGATGTGCGGGGCCCAAGATAGCAAGCGACAAGCGCTGCGCCCCTAGCAAAAAAAAATGCATTGCAGAGAAGCACGGGCCCCAAGGCGGCTGCCTCATTTGCTCTGCCCAAGGGCCGAACCTGTATAAACAAACAATCGTGCACTGGGTTACAGGTTTCAATACCTGACCCTCATCAAAGCCTCATTACTCAATGTGCACTGTCGCCAAAATACGCATAGACAAGCACACCATAATGTTCAAATTCTAAAGGACAGACAATTACCTTTAAAATATTAATAAGAACTCCTAAATCTAACTCTAGTATCACAAGCAAAATGAGAGACGAAAAAAAAAACTTTCAAAAATAGATTGGGAGTACAATTGTCAGATCTCAACAGGAAGTAATAATTGCGACCTAAATCCATTTACAGGTGATGATTTTGAGTGGCACTTTATACATTTTGTTTTTGTTGATCCATGTTTTCTAAAACTGCATCGTAAAATCATAAACATATCATTCAGGCACGGCTTAGATCAGATTTGGCATCAAGCCTTTTATTTATTTGTTTTTGCTTCGTGTAAATATCGATTGCTTCTGGATAGCGAGGGTGTTCTCTGAGACTTTTAGACTGGATCCCTTAAACAGAGAGCGCAAAGGTTGACAGAAACACGTACATCATCTGCAGGAGTAATTTTCATTGTGATCTTGAAACCTGAGCCGGTTACAACATCCCTTCAAATACGGAATATTATATTTGGTTCAGTGCGCGAAATAAAAAGCTGACGTATAAAACAAAAATTAATGAAAAAAAGGGATAACGAATTTAGCTTCATAAATATAAAATGTATGCAAATAATATATTTAGATTACTGAAAGCGATACTCTATCATAAACGTTAACGATAGCTTGAACGTCATTCAAAACTTGAAGCTGTTAGCCGAGAATCTAATGCATTAGATAGAATTGACAAATGTAAATGTAAGCTATGGAGAAGATCGTGTTTTGTAATGTTTTGCAACATATACCTGCCTTTCTTGTTATTAAAGGAAAATTACTTTTTCATCAAAAGATGAAAATGTATTAGACATTTATATTATTGTACACTCTAAGAGGAGCAATGTTATAATTTCTTCTAGCATTTCGTTGACCTGATTTTTCTGATGTAACTATGAATGCTATGGCCCTGATTCTTAACATGAGACGTTCTATTATTTAAAAGTAGATAAAACATATTAAGCAGATGAAGATTAGTGGATGTTTAGAAAAATAATAATAAATATTCTTTTCTACATTTTAGCACTTTGTACAGAGATACATTTTTAAACAAACCAATTTACGATGATTTCCATATTGGTCATCAACCGCTCAGGTGGCCTAGTGGTTAGAGCGTCCGCCTCGGATGCTGGAGGCTGTAGGTTCGATTCCCGGTCGAAATATAACAAAGACTTACAAATGGTACTAACAACTGCCTCGCTTGACGCTCAGCATTAGGAGATTAGTGTTAGGATTGGTCGGCCTGGTGTCAAGATAATGTGACTAGGGTGGGGATAATTATACAGGTCTGCGGCATGATGCTTCAGTACTAGACATCATTATAAACTACCACACTGCAGACATAATATCGATATGACCAACATTTTTAAAGCTATATTAAAAATCATGATCACATAATCACTCACTGGTTATTACGTTTTCTTAAACAGTTGACCTTGGTATTGTTAAAATAATTTGTAATTCTCATCATTTTGATATGTGAACGGTAGATGTAAATTATATATAGAAGAGAGAGAGAGAGAGAGAGAGAGAGAGAGAGAGAGAGAGAGAGAGAGAGAGAGAGAGAGAGAGAGAGAGAGAGAGAGAGAGAGAGAGAGAGATCTTCTTTTTATGTTACAGTTCATTTAATGCACTTTCAAAAGTTTAAGTTGTCCACTGGCAAATTGATTCTCCCTATTTTAATAAGTTTTGAAATTAGTGTACTTTGGAATGGTTAGTTTTGGGAGTATCCATTTTGATCAGATGTCTGTTTTAGTCCGAAGACTGCTTGCCTAATACCACATACACATAAATTTTAGTCCCCGTACATGACAGCATCATGGAGGCATACCAATAATTCTATCCACTGTGCTTGTTGCAATTGCACACAACTTGAACTTAACTGTAGAGAGGAACCAATGCGAAGACATACTTTACTCTCACTCACTCCTACGAAACCCGATAATTTATTCAAGTCTTCGAAATTAAATATGTGGAGTCTTAGGTTGTCTTTTGATAGTGTACAACTGAAAATTATTAAATTAAGCGTGATTAAATCTGATTCGAGTTTTGTTCAACAGATCAATTAATAATTATGCAGTAACGGAACAATCGTGCATTTTTACATCATTTGAACCTGACAATTTTGTACGCTTTGTGTTCTTTGCTCAAAATAACTTACAAAGTACATTATAATAACATAAATACTTTATAACTAGTCAAATGATATCTCGTATATTGTTTCAGCTTTCCATCCGTATCCTAGTGTTTATATATTTGTCCATATCAATCAATATTAAAGCCAACTCTAATCGGCGTCTATTTTCTCCCTTATGCACGCGAAATCAATAACTACTTCAGATAATGTGTTTTTTTTTTGTGTCTACAATATAAAAGTGTTACCCTCTCAGTCTGTCGCAAATCGTGAGACACATGGTGCTTCACATACCTGTCTGGTCATGCTTTTGTGCGTTAGTCTTTTTCATGATGATATTAAACTGTTTAAATAGCACAGGCCACGCAAAAATGACCCGCAGCCCACATTTGGCCCGCGTATCTGTAGTTAGATGACTCTTCACATGGAGCTGGTGTATAGTTGTTGTTGTTGTTTATGTGGTTGTTAGATTTAACGCCATTTTCAGCACAAGATAGGCTATACATAGGGTCCAGTATTATTGGTTGAGGAAGAACCCTGGAAAACCCCGGGAAGAACCACCGACCCACGAGAAGCTACTAGCAAGCTTTCTCACATACCCAAGTTAGCCAAACATGACACTAACGATGAACAATTATGATTACAAAACAATGTAACAAGGGTATCATGTTTAAAAGATATAATAAATCAACAGAAAGATCCATGAAGAATTATTTAAGAGCAAAAACAATAATACCTTACAAATTCGACCACTTTCTATTATGAAAAATAACTTTCAGATCTTAAAAGAAGCTCTGTGAAAGTAAATTAACTCTTGAGGATTGCAGTTTGGCATTAAAAATATGAAATAATGATATATAATTTATTCTATGAATTATTTAGGAACGATCTCTGCAGTGTTTTCTTTAGATCTATGATAGCTGGATACACCATACATCATCACTCAGAATTTCATTTTCAGGGAATCACGACTTAGATTCCAAAAGAAGATAAAGATAGGAAATTTATTTTCTTGTTTAAAAAATAAAAACTGGCCTCACTACTAAATGTAAATTATAGGATTGCGTCTGCTTCTATTGCAAATAGGGTAAAACAAATTCCTTCTATCATTAATGTCTACCAAAAATGGCTTTATGAAAGTGATATTTATACAAGAAATTTTTTGACCCGATGAACTATTTCGAGGTCCTCTCTTACTGAGTGACATTATTAAAGATTTCGACTTGGTTGAATGGGGATTCTAGCAAAAAGGCTCTGTAATCTTTAACTTTAAAGATTCCATTTGTCACTGGTTGGGGGTATTTTGCGATAAATAAGAGGTATTGTTTTGCGCAATAGAGGTTGTCACCTGTAAGTCGCTTTAGTACTGGGTTTATTTGTAATGAGAATTGGACCTGTGAACCTGTTTTAAAGGATCTAAAAGAGTACACAAATATTGCAGTAATATTCTGTAATGAAACATAAGTCCAATTCGAACTGTATGCTGATGATATTTCTCTATTATTAGTGGGTGTTCTCAGCATACGATGGGATATACATGATGGCCAGTATAACTGATTGAGTAAGAAACCGGAGAAAACCCCAGTAAGAACCAGCGACCCACTGGAAGCTGCGAGCAAGCATTCTCACGAAACCACGTTGGCCGAGCCAGAGACCAACGCGAACAGGAGAGATGTCTGTGATCGATAATGGCGAGAGCTTTATTTCATTCGGCCAACCTCTGTATCAGTAAATAGTTCTCCTTTGTGTTTAAAAACAACCATGCAGATTATGAATATCATTGCCTTGATATCAGGTCTGTTCTTTAAGTCAAGCATAATTTGGACTGGATAGTAGAATAAAACATAATTCAAGAGAGATAAATATGTCAATCGAGTACTGAGAATAGACCATAATAGATCCCTGGAAGATAATAATTAAATGTATCTTTGTGTGTGTGTGTGTGTGTGTGTGTGTGTGTGTGTGTGTGTATGTGTGTGTGTTTTAGAAGGCCAGCAAGGCATAAAGTAGAGGCACCGTAAGTAATTTTATGAAAGTAACATAGTTTATGAAACTTTCGTCTATCTGTTCAGATAAACTAAGAGTTTGTTAATATGTCATACAGCACGTAGCACATATAATAAGATTAGCAACAATTATTCCTGCTTTTAATGGTAGTTTTCTAATTTAAGAGATTCTTGAACCTAACAACCATCCGATACAACACCAGTGTATTTATAGTAAGTGGCAGATGTAAGCAAGATATATAGTTTCTAACGTCATTTGGCTAAATGAATATTTAAGTATGTTCAAAGCAGTTGTCTTTTTAAACTTAGACAAAAATATGTCAGTATGTTTCGTCCAGTTGCCTAGACTACTAAAAAAAATTACGCCAAGAGCTCACTAAAAGAGAGGATTTTGGTTTAGAATTTTAGCCCAGGAAAAAGTGGCTTTAGCTTACCCTAAAATAACATTGCCCCAGATTTGACTGGATTGAAACCATCCAACCACTGTCTGTCTTTACCAATTGTCAATCATTTATAAATCTATATTCAATGCATATAAAATCTCTGAAATATCAGTTGATGAGTACACCAGTGAGTTATCATCAGCAAAGAATCTCATTGCGCTCAAGCGATCGACGCCCATATCTTTAAGATACACAATATATAATAAAGGATATAAAACAGAGCATTGTGGTATGCCATCCGTAACATATAAGCTACTTCATTTGTTATTATTTGCAACAACAAGAAGAAAAAAAAACTGTATCGCGTCTATTACATACGTGGTTAGAGAACCAATCAATAAGTCAATAAACATTAAGTTATTATAACACCTTTAAGCCCAACACAATCAAATGATTTAGATTCATCACAAAAGACCACGCACCACGCACGCCATTCTTATTATCAAGCGCAATACTGTAAAATTCTTGGGAAGAAAACCGGATTGAAATATTTGAAAACACGATAATTTTCATTGAAGGTAGATGTGGAGATGCTTAAAAGTAATTCTTCGCATGACTTTAACAACACAAATCAATGATGAAATAAGCCTGCAATTTGAAGCATCGCTGAAACATCCATTTTTGTACAAAGGCATAATTTTCGCGTTTTTCAACAAAGCTGGAACAGTCTTGTTAGCAAAGTGCATATTCAAAAGAATACAGAGATGTTTAAAAATGGATGTGATAATTCATTTGAGCAAATGGTGACTTAATTTTAACAATTACCTTAGTAATCAGCATGTTTAAGTGTCATTTATGTTTTACTATCACGATTTATATTAATGATAGTCAAGGTTGTATGGAAACATTTATTTTGTATTCACAAAATAAAGTGAACTGAATATTAATGGTATCTTCCATGACTCTTCAATAAACAGGGACGATAATGACTGGATATAAAACAATACTACTACTATTACTACTACTACTACTACTACTACTATTAAATTATCTAATTTTATTCGTCTATTTATTTGCTAGTAGATTTTGAGCTTAACAGCGTATTGTTAGACTTCGTTGCAAAACCACCTTTATCTATACAGAACTGTTGTCCCTTTTAAACAGTAGTTATTTCTTTAAAGATATAAAATGCAATCAGAGGAACATTTTAACGACGTTGTGTAGTTTGAATGAATCAATTGGTTTACTATATCTAGGCAGCAAGGCATAGTTAGATTCCGCTAGAGACCACTCCTAATGACCTGGTACGCCGAATCCATCAAAAAAGATAGCTGGAGTGATCGTAGTTAGACCTGGAGGAATTTTGGGGTGAGATTGAAATATTATAGATCTAGCTTAGAGGATGAGCAGGAGTAAAGAACGAACTATAGTAATTGATAATCAGTTTGACTATGGAATGAAACAGTGTAAAACGCAATTGGGAAATTGTTTATTAATTTCTCAAAATATATCAGAAAATTGCCTTCTTTGAACCTCGGTAAAATTCTCTGACCTTGGGATACAGGAAAGTTAAAGTATAAAATCTCAGGCAACAATATCGATCTGATGTAAGTGTTGTCCAGAGGGTATTCATGTCCTGT